CTCCAGTCACATGATCCTTCAATAAAGACATTATAAATGTTTGTATTGTCACTTTTGATCATTTTAATGCATCCTTGCTCATAATAACACTCATTTTATATTCATTTACTCAATCCAAACTTTTAACCTGTAGTAGTATATAGTTTTGATATAATTTGCAGAATCAGACCTGCAACCTCCTTTATTTTCTGCGCAAGGGCAAATGAATACCGTTTTTGTCCATGCAGTTTGTATCAGACTGCCTCTTGCCGATGTCGGCGAAAGAGCGAACGATGGGAATCCGATTGGCCAGTTTCTTCTGGTTCTGGTGATGGTGCTGCTTCAGAAGAGCCTCTTTGATCTTCTTCCTGACATCCTCTTCAAGATGTCCAGCCACTTCCTGTTGGTCCAGCACCATTTCTAAGAAATTCAACATACAACATCACAAATGATCAGCAGCAGAAGATAAAAAGCATTATTACAGGCCTAAAAAACACACACACACACACACACACACACATCTTATTTTTTCAAAATGTTAATACATAAATATTTTTAAAATGAAGAATTAAGAATTGAATGGATATAATCTGTCACAGTCTTCTGCTGGAGTGCCCTTAAGAGCCATCAGAGGGCACTCTTTTGGACTTTGTGTTTGTTTTAACTGGACTGCATTTCCCATGGTTCCCCTCACTCTGCTCCCATCATCCCTTGCATCCTCATTGTTTCATTGGTTTCAGCTGTGTCTTGTTAGTTTGATCCTGCTGGTGTATATATGTTGGTTGTTTTGTGTAATTCGGGGCTTCAGTCTTGCTTTTGCTGTTATATGGTCATGGCGCCGATTATCTTGTGTTTTGCCTTGTTTTTCCCTGTTTTGGATTATTGTTTGGATCACAAAAAAAAAAATGCATCAGATATAAATATCACACTTGTAACATCACTATGGAATATTAACAATTTGGCAATAATCTGATGTCATTTGGACTATATTTTTTACATGTTTATTGTAATTTTATACTAAAACGTGAACACTGGCACAGATGCGCAGCAGTATAGATCTGCCGAATGCTATATTCATATTTGCCACCAAAGTGTTAATTATTTACTTCGAACCTGAATAATAAATAGAATGATGAATTCTTAGCACAGCATATGTCTGGCCAGTGCCGTCTTGATACGGAGCTGATGTGATCTTTAAATGGCTAATCTGTGCTAAATGTTTGTCAAAAACCTCATCTGTGTCTATTTCGCAGATGTTCCTTGAACTCTGCATCAAGAAACTGACATAGATGTTGATGACAAGCGATGGAGCAGCTGCTCAGAGATCCGGAAGATGCACAACAGCTTTGAGTAATGCAAAATTCACATGCTTAAGAGAGTGAGGTGCAAACACTGTATAATTCATGACTGACACTAAGCGATAAAGACAATTTCCACAGCGCACTCACCTCTAGAGGCTTGTTCTGCATTGAAATTACATTTAAAAAATGCAGTTCGTATACAGATAGAATGATGAATTCTACAACACACTTTGACCTTTTGTGACAACAATATCGGGGCATGTTGTCACAAAAGGTCAAAGTGTGTTGTAGAATTCATCATTCTATCTATTTTTCAGGTTATACATACATATATATTTTTTTTTCCCTCTGTATCCAATTGAAAATGCAACTCTCTCTCATGCTCAACTCATGAAATACTGACGCTCATAAGCTGAACACTGAACACTAGAACCTTGTACATATGTGCCAATTACCTGAG